GGAAAGCTACTTCTCTAAGGAGCGTTGATCAGGTTGACGAAACCGGAGCTAAGTGATGGTTTGACCACTGAGTGGTTTGCGGCAGCATGGCGCACAGCAGTGTATTCGTGGAATACTCTGTCTGCCGTGGCTGCATAGGTCGCCGAGGTAGTAGAGTAGTCCAATGCCGAGAGGACGAGACGAACTTCTGCAGGGAGCTTCTGAGTGTGAAGCTGGAGCAGGATAGTGTCAGGAAGCCTGTCTGTGTGGCGGGAGTTCAGTCTTTGCATCTTGTCCCAAAGGCGTGCAGGCGTTGAGTTGCCGAGGGGTAGACTTGATAAGTCTTGTAGGAGAGTGGTGTAGGGCCGCTGGTATTGCATCTTCACAGCATCCCATAGGGCAGCGAATTTGTTGTCAGCTGGAGGGTTGGTGATGGTCTCTGATACTTGCGTGGCGACTTCTGTGGGCAGGGAACAGACCAGGGCGATGTACTTTTGTTTGTCTGTAGCTGTAGAGCCGATGAGAGCTGCTTCCGTGTGGATAAGCCAGTCTTCAATGTTGTGATTGAAGACTGGGAGAGTGATCCGTTTCTGCTCCATCCTGCGTGAGTGTGTTTTTCCGGGGGTCACCATTTGTAGGGTCATGTTAAGTTATGTTGTGTCGCACTCAGGATGGGATGGATGGAAACTCTAGGTGGTGGTTTTCTTATATAAAATATATTATATACAAAACAGTCTGGTGCTGTAGATGCAGTGCGGTGAGAATCTTGCTGAGAGGTGTTGGATGAGGAGCTCGTTGAGAGGTCTTGCCGGTTCAGGAACGTGTAGCTAGAATGAGAGCTGGACAGCGAGGAGCTTGCTCAGAGGAGGTGTTGCGTGTTCAGTAACTTAGGGTAGAATGAATCTCAATGACGAGACTGAGAGCTTATATACACAGCAGCCGGGAGTAAACCCGGATGCAAGCGTCACAGGTGGCGACCCCCGTGAGAAACTCGCCGGTTGCTAGGATACTGTCGCATTGGAATGCAGCTAGGCTTGTCAGATGTAAGAAAGAGTATCGCAGGTGGCGCAGGTGGCACCCCCCGTGAGAACCTCGCCGGTGGTTGAATTCCGTTGCTATGGGATACGGCTGCGCTGTTGTAGGGGAGAGATCCACAACAAGAGTATAGACTGAATGAGAAAGGACCTAAGTGTGTATGTTCACAATGAACTGAAGTTCTCGGGCGATTGTGAGAATAAGGTGAATCAAGCAACTAAATTAAGTCTTATAAGAAGGTTGTTCAGATATCTAGGTGGTCCATCTTTAAGAGCGAGGTACTTCCCCTGGAGTCCTGTCACCTAGTCTGGTCCTCGAGATATGCTAGGGACTGTCAGTTGATTGAAAATGTCCAAAGGAGGGGCACCAGACTGGTGTACTTCGGCTATCCAGAGAGATTAGAGCGTCTGCGACTGCCTAGCTTATTTTTTCACTCTAAGATTAACAGTTTAAGTAAACTATTACATTTATCCTCTTCACCACTGATCGGCTAGCCGTTTGGGCGATCGGTCACGTCTGTTACGCACTGTTGGCAAGTACTGGGCATGCACCGGCTACTGAATGTACCTGAACCTGCTCCAGTGTTGGTCAAGTCTTGTCTTGAAAGAGCTCACACTCGGTGCTGTCACAACACTTGCTGATAGATTGTTCCAAGAGTTTACAACTCTCACTCCGAAAAAGTTTGCCCTCACAGTTTTCTGGACTTGCGGCTTCTTCAATCTTGAGCTGTGACCCCATGTGGGGCGAGCGTCCGCCAGCTCCAAGTAAGAACACTCGACCGAGTAGTGCCCTGAGATGCTTATACACCTCAATTAGGTCACCCCTTGCCCGTCTGTAGTATAAGCTAGGCAAGTTCAGGGGCTCCAATCTCTAGGGGTAGCTGAGGTGCCAAAGTGCAGGCACCAGTCTGGTAGCCCTCCTTTGAACAGACAGGCAAGGGGGTACCTAATTGAGGTGTATAAACATCTCAAAGGGCACTAATCAGTCGAGTGTCCATACCTGGGGCACAAGGAGTCACAGATTTCTAGTGGCAATTACCTAATTACCTGTACAATCATGGATATGGTAAGCTCTCATATATATATATATATATATATATATATATATATATATATATATATATATATATATATATATATATATATATATATATATATATATATATATATATACCACCTACCAGCTTACAAGCCGTTTGGGCAGTTTATCCAGTGTTAGTACAGGAGGAAACCAGGGACTGGGAAACCTGTGGTGTTTGGTAGGGTCACACTGGATAACACCCTTCTCATGTGTGTCCCGGCCGAGGGTCGAACCCTTGACATATTGGTGAGTTATGCACGTTACCGCTGTACCACCAACTACAAGAGGTGGGGCATGGTCTATCTGTTTGAGAATGGGATTTTTTCATCAAAAGTCCTTCAACAAGGTGACTTAGTAGCAAAACATGTTGAACCACAGATTCAACCAAGTTCCCCCAGGCCAAAATACAAACTGGCTGAATGCTATTGAGCCAATCTGAGAAGAAAACTGGAGATTTAGTAGGTATCACCAAGATAGCTTCATCATTGAACAGATAGACCTCAGATGCAAGCACCTTCAGTAAATAGACGAACACGCTTGCTGAAATAACATACTAAATTGGAGAAAAATTCTACTGGGTTAACACTGTATTTGATAAACAAAGTTTTCCATCAAAACAGGAATTAGGGCCAAACAAAAACATGATCTATGATCAGTTCACTCTTGTATATTGTAGTCCATCTGTTCCCCAGGCTGCCCTCTGACTGGTCCGGCTTCTTTGCAGTTTAACATAAGGTAGAAGTCTCATTGATTTTCATGCATTTGATCAAGAGCAGTCCTAGTGATAAATGTGTGGTACTCTTCGTTAGAATTGCTGAAGGCATCAGAAATGATGGTCGACATTTCTACAATTAAAGCGGACATAAGACAAATTCTGCATTGTACATATGCCCATTAGTGTATTTTGCACCCTCACAGGCATAAGTTGTGCACCTATAAACGTAGTTCACAAACAAGTCGACCTTCGAATTTTCCAATTCTTTTTCAAATTTTTATTTATTAAAGTTCATAGAAATCCTATGCTTTTATACTGTCAGATTTGATGAGACACTCTCCTGTGTTCAGTAATTTGGAATTAAGGCACAAGCAGTGGTGGTAAATTTATTTTTTGTTGGCTACTGGCATGACAGCCCTGCATTTGCCAATGGGCATCCGGTATACCACAGACTGTAAGATAGCCATGCCTCAACCAATGGGAGTCTTCTGTGTATCCTTGAGATGAGTGCAGCTTCTGTGACCTGCTTCTGACTAATTGCTGCCTTCTCCTGACAGGATCTTCACACCCTATACATTCAAACCAACCCAAAACCTCCCCAAGAACTTATTTTAACTAAAGATAAAAATAAGACACATAACATTACACATTTAATTGCAAATCTTTCTATCGAGATTAATCAAAAACCGATTCTCAAAATTATGGCTGTCCAATCAGGATCTTTTAGGCCTATATATAAGCCCAGCATGACCTACTGAAAGAGAATATGTTCAGCCGCACTTCTCCCTACAATCCATCACAGGGATAGTGAGCGGGCTAAAAATATATCCATCCAAAACTGTGATAACTCTTTTCCTTATCCACACACGTATCGTTGATGTGGACTTATGGTCCACAGACACAATGTGGTTTCTGCTTGCATTAGGTTAGGATACAGACCAATCTGGCAAGTATCCGAGGTGGGAGATGACCCACACTTCTCTTCCTTTACACTCTGTAAGCTAGCTGTCCCAACACAAACACCTGTCAACACTATTGCCCAATATATTATTAGTCTGCATGTAACGAGTATTTTTAATGATTTTTGTTTTTTCAATTGTATTGGAGTAAAAGTATTAGAAAACCATACTTAAGTAAAAGTACAGCAGGTCCTTGTTTAACGTTGCCCCGACAATATTTTTATTCAATTTGTCGTCACGGACTGCTTTGTATGGCGCATCACCCTCTCATCATCTTGGCTCGCTACGCTTTCGCTCGCAGAATGTCCCCAAGCATCGCCAGTCTTTGTTAAGCTTCCACAGCGTGCATGCGTGTTTAAGTGTTTTTGCTCTAAATACTGTACTCTAACCATTCGAAATAGCTTCCAAGTGTTACTGATGCTAGTGTTGTGAAGAAGCAACGTAAGACCATTAGACTTGCTACAAAAATGGGGGAGGAACCCAGGTCAGAGCAGGAGGAGGAGCCACCCGCTGGGTCTCAGTGACCTGCCACCCTCCTCCTCTCCACTACCCACTCGCTCCACCTCCACCCATCAGAAAGTACAATACAAAATGATTTAGTTTATTTATATATACTACAGTATACTATTTTCTATAAAAATGCCATTGAACTTATGTATATGTAATGTATTTTATGGGGCAAAGGGAGGCTGGGAAATGTAACTCCTGTATTTTATCTATTTCTTAAGGGGTAAATTGACTCCGTTAAAGTTGTTTCCGTTAATGTTGCAGTACCACGACGTTAAACGAGGACTAACTGTAATAAAATATTTGAGTTCAGATACATTCAGGAATCAATTCATGCCCAGCACTTGCCAACAGTGCCAAACAGAGATGTGACCAACCGTTCAAGCGACAAAGGGGATAAGGGGAATAAAAATGGATGTTAACACTCCAAGCTAACCTCTACACTCGTCATTGTCTGCCTTTGTGGATGGAAGTAGCACGCATAAATCATAGGACTTGAGAGGTCTTAAACCATTCAGCACAATTCAGCTAAAGGTCAAATTAATTATCAGGAGGTTGCTTGGAATTTTAAACTACAGTATATAATTTTTTTGGAATCATCTGAAATTTGAATATGTGAGGTTTTTGTACAGTATTATCCTAACATAACTTACATGGTCCTGAGAATATACATCTACAGAGTTCTTCATGATATATTACTGTGGAAAAGAAGTAAACAACCTAAATTAAATCATTTTTTTTTATTTTCAGGCAGAAGAAGGTTGCCCACATAATCTCCTGAGAAACATTCAACTCTCACATATAATGAAACATTTCATCTAGGGATGGACCCTGTAATACTTCCTATTATGATAAAAATGATTAACAAAAAAATAAGAAGGGATGTGTGTTAGCAAAGAGGGACTAAGCAGTCTCAGAATGCTAACTAATTTCAGTTTAATCATCAGAAAATACAATTCTTATTTTATCTATATGATTTGTAGATCTTAAATAATGCACTTCAAATTACAAGAGAAAATGATTCCGGCAATAATGCAGTACAGGTACAGTACTGTTTAATGAAAATATAATTAATAATATAATACACAGGGATGGCGTTCATGCTGCTGCAACCTGCCGTAAGGGTCCATCCAGATACTTGGCAAGAGCATTTGTCTTGGCCCGAAGTAAACCAAAGCCTACACTGTCCTTGGCATAGATGCAGAGAAGGAGGTTTGCAACTTGTGTCACACATACTTTTCCATCCTGTAAAATATATTTCTGAGGAGAGATCTCTTATTTTTGAGAAATATCATCATGTAAACTAAATATGTATGGTAAGCAGTTTTCATAATGAAAATAAAGAATGTTAATCATTATGAAAATAATGTTAATCATTAAAAAACAAAAATAATATTGAAAGTTTTGAAAACTGATGAAGGTAATAATGGGCTAAGTGAATGTGCATGGAAATTTCAAAATGCTTAAATTACTGCAATTACGACAAAAACGTTGTTTATCTATCTTTCCATTAAAGAACTAGAGTCTCTAGTTTACTACATATGACGCTGGAATCCTATACACATGCAATTGTCTAGAGCGCCATCCTCTGCCGACATTAACAGAGATATGAAACCCGTAATGTATTTACCCTTAAAGATGATATACAGTACATTACTGTATACAGTACAGCCTTTTTATTTTAATGATCGATACTGCACTTTTTTTTTATTTGGGAGCACCCTAATTTACCCCAATTTTTCTTTATAACGTGGTTAAACTCCTTTATTTCACAGAATTAGCCACAAAAATTAAATTGCATTAAATGGACCACCATATTCAGCACTATAAGCAAAAATAGAAAAGGACAGTATAATAGATGCTACTGCATCTATTACCCAGTGTATATACTGTATATGTAAATACTGTACTCTACAGGTATACTGTATATAAAAGGAGGGAGGAGGCATGTTACAGGCATCACTATTGTTGAGAAAATCAATATTAACCCCTTTAAAACCAAGAGAACTGCCCTTCTACCTCTAATTAATAGAGTAAATTACCTTCTCATCTATAACTACAAGGTAAATGCCAAATAAACAACACATCATTTTAAACCAAGTGTCATTTTTATGCCCCTTTTTAATGAATAAAACATTTGCTTTACAAACCGCAATCAAAATTTGTAATCCCTTTTTATTAAGAGTATGCAGACTTTTAGCTGTCATGTGGTTAATATAGCCACTCAGGATACACAAAGGCATTTACGCTCTACTGTATCTGTACAATGTTCATATTTTTCAATATACTTTTTTTATATATTGTAGCGTACGTTCTATTATTTTTATAGGACATAAGAGTGGTAAACTTTATGTGCAAAACACTCCAAATGACCAAGATTTTCCCCATCCTGGAAAATAACCCCCTGTAATACCATTCAATGTAATGTACACTGTACAGGGGGAACTATACTTTTTTTCATTTACAGAATTGATTTCCAGGAACACAACCCCTTTGTATATCAGGGGACATCTATATTCCTCTAGTCCAGTAAGCAGGAACAGTACTGTACAGTACAGTCTCTCCTCAACTTACGACAACCCGGACATATGACGGTCATGGTCGTATAAATATTTTTCACATTACGTATTTTTGAGTCCCAACGTTAGTGATTGCGCTGTGTACTGAAAATTTTTTTGCTTGTAATTCCCTTTAAAATGGCTGGCAAGCATAAAAGTGAGAGTTCTCGTGGTGCTGAGAAGAAAAATAGACACTCATTTTAGAATTTCTATGTATTATTTTTTACTTTTCTACTTACGACCTGGTCGTCAGGACGGAACCCCGTCGTAAGTCAAGGAGAGACTGTACTGTACAATACAGTATACTTATTCCACAACAATTGTAGTCTTGGCCATACTGTAATATCATTTAACCCCTTCACTATGGTGACACCACTTCAGTATTTTATTTGGCTAGTGCCAGACGATTTTATTCAGCTCTGAGGGGACCCCATTCACAAGTGGTTAGTAAAATATTGCCCCAAGCCCCTTCACTATAGTGATGCCACTTTTAATATTTTATTTGGCTAACACCAGATGATTTAATTCAGCTCAGAGGGGACCACATACACAAGTATAGTTCAGAACACATTAATACCTTCATAAAATAATCATTATTTTTCAAAAATTATCAAATTACAATTTTATAACATTTAAATTTCAAGAACTTACCTCACATTCCATTAGTACCATACTTAGTCTGTCTTCGGAAAAGGCATTTCTGCCATTCTTATCATAAACTGCCCAGATATTACTTGCAATAGCAGCAGTAACCCGAGCATCACGATCGCCATATCCACTGAATGCCAACAGTGCCCCTTCTAAATTTAACAACCTGTAAAATATTCAACTTAAATATAACCAAACTTAAGCATAAAGAAGAACATTGAGAAATATATAATAATAATAATAATAATAATTAACGGTTTATTGAAAGAGCATGGCAGTCGGAAGGCTGAAAATATACAGTTACATAATTGGGGAATGGGTCTCTTGATTTACAAATAATATACAAGTAACATAAGTGATACAAATATGATACATATAATGACCAGGTGGGGAGAAGCTCAAACTACAGGGCATTTCAACATAGTGACAGTGCAAAAAGTAAGATTGACTGAGAGTGAATACACTGGTTGATTACAAGTTATTGATAATTTTTACAATGGTTGGGACTAGGCTGTTCTTATAGCAATCAGTTCGTGCTCGTATGTACCGTACAGTACTTTATGGTAACAAAAAATACAAGTACCCTGGTTAATACGGTAATGTTAAAATTCCCTAATATGGTGAATGAATAGATATTAGAGCATGGAAATTTGCATTCTGAATGTTATTATTTATCAAAATATAAGTCAAGGCCATGATCAGAAACACACAGAAGAAAGAATACATTGTTTTTAACCATTCTTCAAGATATTGTCTATCTTACTTTACCATATGCTCTTCACTGTCAGTCAAGCGGGTGGCCAAGTCTCAGTTGTACACAGTTGGTAAATACAGTAGTACAGTACAGTACTAGGCATCCCCGAGCTTTTGAAATTACCGGAACTTCATGTTACAGGAAAGTACAGTACAGGTTCTGTACACTTGCTACAGAAAGTATCTACAAGGAGGGGGCCGATGGATGTCAAAATGAACACTCGGACTCTTGTTGTCTCGGAAAGGTTGTCAAAATCCTTCATCAGTTGTCATATTGTACAGCAAAAATTTTTGTAGCGAGTGTATATACAAAAAGGGTGACAGGGTCAATAAGGTCATTTGGTGTATTTTCATTTCTTAAATCAAATACAGTATACTGTAGTTATTATATAAAAAAACATTAATTACCAAAAGGTGGTTCGAATTTAATGCTGTTGCATTTTATATTAAGGGTTTAATATTCCCAGTTATGATACCTATAATTTGGCAAAATACTTTTAGACTTTAGACATCAAGCTGAAAAGGAAGCACTGTATAAAAATTTTCTATAGAAGAAAATTTCTTTACCTACTGAATACCCAACAATAGTAAGAAAATTGCAACTTTCCTACTTTAGGCTTTCAATGTTTTAGTTATGAGTAAATGCGGCATGTGCCATTTGGAGGAGCATGCCATGTTTGATTTTCTTCTCCTGGAACTTTTACCCTCTTCGCTACCGATTGACTAGTTAGCCAATTGGGAGATACATGGAGGTAGTAGTCGTATCCTGGTTAAGATTATCCCTGTTGGGATTTATTGCCGCGTTGACTCTATCAAAGCAGTTCTTGAACTGGTTAATGGAGGTTGCTTGAACTACATACTGATGTAGATTATTCCATTTGTCCACTGCTCATTGACTGAAAGCATGTCTTCTTTTTTCTGTATTTGCTCTCTGCTTTTGTAATATGTGGTTATGCCCTCTCAAGTTTCCTTGATATATTCGGTATTGGAAAAACTTATATGTCATTATTTTCATAACCAATCATCATCTTGTACGTCTCAATTAAGTCTACTCTACTCCTTCTCTCTTCCAAAGTAGTTAATCCCAAATTTGCCAGCCTTTCCTCATATGATAGGTCAGTCAGTGATGGTACAATTTTTGTTACTTTTACTTTTATCCTCTTCACCACTGATCGGTTCTTTAGCCGCTTGGGCCGTCGGTCACGTCTCTGTTATGCACTGTTGGCAAGTACTGGGCATGCACTGGCTCCTGAATGTATCTGAACCTGCTCCAGTGCTTGTCAAGTGTTGAAAGAGCTCACACTCGGTGCCGTCACAACACTCTCTAGCAGATTGTTCCAAGAGTCCACAACTCTCACTCCGAAAAAGTTACCCCTAACAGTTTTCTGGACATGCGGCTTCTTCAACCTTGAGTTGTGACCCCTCATGGGGTGGGGTGAGCGTCTGCCAGCTCCAGGTAAGGACACTTAACTGAGTAGTGCTCTTTGAGATGTTTATACACCTCAACTAGGTCACCCCTTGCTCATCTGTAGTACTGTATAAGCTAAGCAGTTGCAGGCACTCTGATCTCTTTAGACAGCTGAGGTGCTGAAGTGCAGGCACCAGTCTGGTGGCCCTCCTTTGGACATTTTCAATTAACTGACAGTCCCTAGCATATTTTGGGGACCAGACGGGGTGACAGTACTCCAGGCGGGGAAGTACCTCACTCTTGAAGATCGTTACAGGGGTTAGACCATTTAGATATCTGAACGACCTTCTTAAATGACCGAATAATTTAGATGCCCGATTCACCTTCTTCTCGCAATGGCCTGAGAACTTCAGCTCATTGTCAACATACACACCTAGGTCTTTTTCACATTTAGTCTCAATTAATGCAGTTTCTTTGTCCCGTTGGGCATAAGAACATAAGGAGTCTGCAATAGACCGGTTGGCCTGTGCATGGCAGCTCCTGTCGAGAGTTACTACCACTCTCTAACATCCATGAATCTATCTAGCCTCCTTTTAAAACTTTCCAGCATTCCAGCACTTACTACAAAGTTGCTAAGCTTGTTCCACCAGTCCACCACCCTATTTGTGAACCAATTCCTTCCTATCTCCCTCCTAAACCTAAACTTATCCAACTTAAATCCGTTGCTATGAGTCCTATCCTGCTCAGATATTATAAGAACTTTATCTATATCCCCTTTATTGATTCCTTTCACCCACTTAAATACTTCTATCATATCTCCCCGCACTCTTCGTCTTTCTAGGGAATGCAAGTTTAGTTTCTTTAACCTATCTTGATATGGTAGGTTTCTAAGTCTAAGACATATGATATGCCTCCTTACCATTGGTACATCCCAGGTGCAGACTCTTACACTTTGAGGCGTTGAATCTTAGCAGCCATTTCTTCGATCATTCTTGAAGCTCACAGAGATCCTTCTGCAGCTCTTCACAGTCTGCTTAGTTCTCAATTTCCCAAAATAACTTGGCATCATCCGCAGTCATTTGTATGGAGGAGTGTATAGCTTCTGGCATGTCATTTATGAAGAAAACAAACAACAGCAGGCCCAATACACTGCCCTGTGGTACCCTGCTTTTGACGGGTACACATGACGATTGTGTGCCATTAATCACCACACACTGCTTGTGATCATGGAGAAAGTCCCCGATCCATGCTAGGACACTTCCCCGAATCCTGTGCCCTTCCAGTTTAATTTTCAGCCTTTCATGGGGTACACAGTCATAAGCCTTGGCAAAATATAGGTATATTATGTCGATATTACCACCCTGTTCCAGAATTTGGGTCCAAACATCCAGTACCTTGAGTAATTGTGTTAAGCAGGAGCATCCTGTCATAAAACTGTGTTGGCTCTTCTCTGCACTTTCTCGATACAGTACCTGTACTATCAATCTCACCTCTGTGATACGGCGTCCACACCTGTACACAATATTCCAAGTGAGGTCGAATGTAGGTTTAATATAGTGTCTTAAAGAGTTCTTCATTTATGTAGGTAAACGTTCTCTTAACAATTCTGAGTGACTGGTTTGCAAGGAAAACACTGTACATGAATGCCTTCATTTTCTCAACTGTAAATTACCAAGCAGATATAAAAAAACAAAACAAAAACAAAAACAGAAGAATCATCTCTTTAACTATGACACCAGGGGGACAAAAAGAGAATTCATGGCTTTAAACTCCTCAGAAAAGTTGCAAACTTCGGTATTATTGTAGTTTCAGCCACAACTCGGTTACAGCAATTTTGTGTTTACCATTAGTTATATCATGTCAATAGGAACAACGTTTTCTAATACAGGTTGACAATCCCTTATCCGAAATCCTTGGGACCAGATGCATTTCGGTTTTTGGAATTTTTCGGTTTTCAGAATTGTTTTTTTTTTTTTTTTTACAGGGATTAGCCCACCCGGGCACAGGTCACTGACCCACATTGGGGCCTGGGGACTAAAATATAATAATAATAATAATAATAATAATAATAATAATAATAATTCATCGGTCTAGGTCGTGTTTCTCACTTTTGATCTTTTTTCATTCTTGTATTTCTTTATTATTATTATTATTTTATTATTACAGTATTATTGTTATTATTGTTATCATTCTTATTTTATTTTTGTGTATTTTTTATTAAAATTTTTATTAACTATGAATAATTATTATTATTACTGTATAATCACTATTATTATAATTATTATTACTATTACATTTTCACCCCCCAGGCCCCGATGTGGGTCAGTGACCTGTGCCCGGGTGGGCTATAAAAAAAAAAAAAAAAAAAAAATCCACAAAAACTTTCGGTTTTCAGAGCTTTTCGGTTTTTGGAATTTCGGATAAAGGGTTGTCAACCTGTACCACTTTTGTCGCAAATGGATAATAACCAATACAGTATGGTAAATTCTGCAGTCACCGTGTGTCGTCTGTTTGTTTACAACTGACCCGCATGGTCTGAGCATACTCTGACATCCACAAAAAATTTAAAATTACACCATGATGCTTCAACAAAATCGCTTTCATTAGTACCAGATATCAAAATAAGTACTTTCTGTTTAATATGGCAGGGACGGCTGGGAAGTTGGTTAAGGTTAGGTAGGTGGTTCTATGGGGATGAATCCAAAACTACCGTACTCATGTTACGGAAATGAAGGTCAAATTCAATGAATCACACAAATACCAGGAAAATATATATATATATATATATATATATATATATATATATATATATATATATATATATATATATATATATATATATATATATATATATATATATATATATTATCGAACAGTGGTTGGGGCTTAAACTGCAAATTTACCCAAACTTCAACTACAATCAAACTTCTTGACATAAAGTGTAGTCAGTGAATAGTACAGTACTGTACAGACTATAGAACATATTGCACAAGCCACCAAGCGAATAATGTAAATGTGTTCAAGAATAGACGACAAATTATTGTCAAGGTAAGGGATATGAGTACTCAATTAGGGGAGCCACGAATTACCCAAAAGTACCCAAAAGTACAGCAAATCAAGGTAAAATCTTAACGAATATCTGTTATGCATACACAAAACATGTTTAATAATATTTTGAGTGTAATTTTGAAAAATAATTTGTAAGATGAAATAATAAACAGTGAAAAACTTTCAGTATTGGCGAACGCTAAATTCCAAAGAGTTCGTGAACAAGGGAGATAATTCCGATCCATCGTGATGCACTTCGCTAACCTAACCTAACCTAACGAAAAGTAAATCCTACGGCTATGTTTAATACCCCAAAGTAGCAGAAACATCGGTAATTATATCTCCATTTTGGATAGGTACCTCTTTGGAATTTAGCGTTTTTTGCCGTTTATTATTTCATTATTTTGACTACATTTCAATGTAAACATTATTAACCAGGTTTTATTGATGTAAAACATATATTCGTTAACATTTTACCCTGATTTAATATACTTTTGGGTACTTTTGGGTAATTCGTTGTACCGCTCAATTAGACCTAAAGTCTAATAAACAAGGCCATAATACTGCAAGTGTAAGTGAACCAGTGACCTTGGTCAGGAGGCATTCACTCTAGCCACCCCCAAGCTATGCCTTAAAAAACTAAAATCATTATTCCTGGAGAGTTGCACATAGATATAAGGCAGTGCATATTTTACCATAACCAGTAAGTTCCTTCTAATGCTATTTTATCATGAGTGCGCTCCGATTGGCTAATTGTTCATTACCGGCGAACAAAGCGAGAACCATATTTGATCGTGACCCTGGTAGCATTTGGCATTTACTTCGCCGTGAGTCGATCGTTGTGTAACAGTAGCTATAAACATACCTAACCACATATCTGTTGTGCATGGAAACTTATCATTATAAAAGAGGCGACATTTACTAGAACCTAATAGAACCTGACCCAACCAACCAAGAAACCTACCTAACTTCCTTGCCAGGGGGCGGACCCACTGTCATATTAAACAGGGAGTACCTGGCCAATCAAAGCTCTCACTATAAAATAGCGTCGGTAAAAATTTAGTCGGTCACGGCAAAATAACCACAACAAGATATAAATGTAAACAGTGGTAAATATCTGCTATACACTATTGCAATTACTAGTAACTTACAAAGCACTTTGTACTCCACCAGTATTAGCCTGACTAAGTATCTGAGTTAGAGTTCTAGGTTTCAACATTTTGCAGATGTCAGGCACGACTGTGTACGTTGAAGTCTTGAAGTAAAGTACCCTCGTGAGAAGAGTGGCTGAAGCTTGTGAACATTAATACTATTAGTTATGTGTAGTAGACTTTATCAGCCCCAGAGGCGTGTCAAACAGTCTGACCAGCTGATCACGTGTTACAGAAAATGGGAAATATGACCTTGAGATGGCAACAAAAGCCCGTAAAATTCATTCATAAAGAGATATCTACGTTAATTTATATGTTAACACATTGATCAATGTTACTGGGATCATGTTAATTTAAATGAATAAAGTATAACGTGATAGGCTCTCTGTGATACACAATTACGCATTGCAATAAACTAATTATCATTATTCCCATATTTTGGAGCATGTTTATTTTCCTTCATAATTTTTTGATAAGTAGAATATTCAAGAGAAGAAATCCAAAATCAAAAGTCAACTCAAATATCAATATTACTGTTAAATTCTAAACTTTTCTATTTTAAAGAGTAATCATTGTTAGGCCGCCCTGAGTTAGAGACAACACTGGAACACAACAACAAACATTTCTTCGTCCAATGCAAAATGGCGACGCCAAGCCCAAGAAAATTTCAGGAAAAGATAGCGTTACTGCAACAAAGAGAAGCAGAAGGAAAACTAGAATATGAGCAGATTATGACAGAAGTCCAAGGGCTGACTAGAGCTGTACGTGTTACGTATATCATTCCCATAAGTGTCTGAAATTTGATAGTGAAATTGAAAACCCATTTCGTGTTCATTTCAAAACATCGTATATATTACAATCTATACAAGAAGTGTTGAATAGATATAAATACAGAAATATACACAAATAGTCTTGTGTTGTGATACGAAGTATTTGCAGTTACTGTTTAGCCATGTCAATAATTTCCGTGTTGATTATGTACATGAAACTAACCAGCCACATCTGAATGTTTTCAGAATTTGTTCATTTTTTAGTTGGCAGAAACATAATGCTCGTCGACGTGGTATTTACCGAATCCGTTCGGCAATGTGTTCACTAGCGTATTTGGCAAGTACTAAATTAAGCCCAGTTGTCGTTTTGTAGAAGGAAAAATAATAACCACAGACTCACCAAAATCCCTAATTTGAATAAGGTCCAACTTGATTTATTTTAGAAAATTTGAAACGCTTATCAAGCGTGGAAATGACTTGCGTATGCATATGATTTGTATACAATGAAAAATGGAGAGTGGCATGTACATAATTCAAAAGTTTATCATGCACATGATATGGATGTGGATATAAATATCCATTCTATGTTTATTTGGTTATAGAGTGACTTAATGTTTCACTACATGATAGATGAATGATTACTACAGTATGGTGCCAGGTGTTTTCCTTCGTTGTCTATTTTCCTGGATTATAACCAGGAGGGGAAATGGTTAGGGTCATCTTGTACCCAAGACAATTCATACCCATGGTAAATCGTACTAAAAAAAGTTAACTCGTACCTAAGATAACTCGTACCCAACTAACGCTTCGATTTTTTTTAGATGGAAGCACAGGCTTATGTAGTACTGCAGAATACAATGTAACCACAATTAGACAACGAAAGTGGCATGTTGATGACAACACTTCTCCAGAGGCAGGCTAGAATGGTTGCATATAAAAATGTACACAATCGGTTCAGAGTAGTGATAGAATGCTGCCAAAAGGATGATAATGACATCAGAAATGAGGCTCAAAAATTTGCAGAAATGTATCCCTTGATTAACAACCGTAAGTAAGAACTGGACGTATTATTGTGTTGTAAATTCTCAGCTTTGTTGTTCTTGATACGGATCTTCGTTTAGTATGCCCAGAAGATTGTAGTAGCATCTATCACTGGTTCCAATCCTGGCTATACAGTAATTTACATTGGTTTTACATAATTTCTTCAAGCTTGTATTCTTATGTCATAAGTGATCCAAGGTATTTAAAGGACTCGATTTTTTGAATATTCATTCCACTTATACTGATACATTGGTTTTGCCTTTGGTTTCTTTTAACGATCGTTGTTTTGGTCTTCCACATTTATCTCAAGTCCTGTTGCATTTGATATTTCCTTAAAGGTTGTTGCTATTGTATCTACTAATTTGGATGTTGTTACTTACTATATCCAGTTCATCAGCGTATACGAGCATTCTAATTTTGATCTTATTTAATTCATTTCCTTTCCGCATATGGTGGATTTCTCTTTATATATATATTATATATTATATATATATATATATATATATATATATATATATATATATATATATATATATATATATATATATATATATATATATATATATATATATATATATATATATATATATATATATATATATTCCCCAACTTATGACGGGGTTGGGGACCCAATTCCAGGTCGTAAGTCGAAAATGTGAAAATAATAAAGAGAAAATCTAAAATGGTTGTCTCTTATTCTTCTCAGCTCCACAAAACTCTCACTTTTAAGCTTGCCAGCCATTTAAAGGGAATTACAAACGAAAATTTTGTCAGTACACAGCGCAATCACTAACGTCGTGACTTGAAAATACGTAATTTGAAAATTTTTTGGTACAACGGGCGGTTGTATGTCCGGGTGGTCGTAAGTCGAGGAGTGGCTGTATGTGTGTGTGTGTATATATATATATATATATATATATATATATATATATATATATATATATATATATATATATATATATATATATATATATATATATATATATATATATATATATATATATTGTATGTACTGTGTATATATGGGTACGAACTGTCTCGTAAATTGGGTACGAGTTATGTTGTAATTGGGTACGACTTGACATGTTCTGATGGGTACGAGTTGTCCGGCACCGGGGAAATGTATAATGTAAGGTTGCTGTAATATTGGGCTTGTTTTCCATAGTATTCTCTCTTTAAACATTTTTTTAATGTATAGAGAAGAAACAATAGCTATTGCAGTTCATGGTAATACTACTTCGAAATTACCTGAGACAGCAAGTTAACTTAGGTAAGAAGCAATTCTAATCAAGCGGCACAAATCCCCTAAATACAGTACTCTAAACTGTATTTAAATACACCAGAATTTAGGTTTACAGTGCTATTTATTGTGGCTTTATTGCATTTTTTATTTTCTGTGTTTTTTATTGTAAATAGGAAAAAAATATATCAGTGATTTGTGTCATTTAAAACACTCAAATACAGTATAGGTTTGTAGTGGTGTATTCTCTGTTTTTAATAATTTATAAAGTCTTAGTATTTCTAAAAGTAAATCAGAAAAAATTATGCTATTGAGTATAAGTATATACTGTATGTAGTATATTTATTATGCACTACTATAGGTTTGATTGTATTGATGCTTGGTGGTTCATTCCATGTGGCATGATTTTCCAAAAAACAGTGCAAAGCTGCCCATATGCACCCAAACAGTTTGAAATCACTCAAATACACTGAAATATAGAATGGCATTATGTACAGTATATTTAGAAACACTTTGAATAAAATAGGTCAATATTCCCAAGTTACCATTCACACAACTTTATTTTCATTCTTATATAGGGAGAGAGAAAAAAGAAAGAAAAAGAAAGAAAAAACATTGCATTACTCTATAGCATTTCTGTGGGAAATGTATAGTTTTCAAGTTGTTTCCACTTTTCAATTTCAATTAATAGAGTACAGGTTTGGGGTGGATATACTGTACAATGTTTACTTCCTACTCAGCCTGTCAGTGGGATTGATTGATTGTTTGTGGTAATTACGTCCCTGGTGACACTGTTGCATCGCCAGGGATGTCCTTGTCACATGATACTGGTACACATGCATTTACTTCTTACTCATCAATCAGTGGGAGTGACTATGTGATGGGATACCTGTGCGAGTGTGCTTACTTGCTTTTTCATCGGAAATTAATATTTTAAAATTTTTTCTTGTTTTACTTCAATTTCAGTTTTGATTTCTTTTGTGTTATTGGGTTATGTTAGGTGTTAACAACTGGTTTTGTCATTTTTGTGCCTGTTTTTACCCCAAAATTTCCCTCCACTTCAAAGCCTTGCCCACTTTTTGTGATCAAAATTTCATTTCTTTAAGTAGATATAATCAAAAATTAAAAAAAAAATGAATATCCAATCGAAACGGTTTAATTTTTGTTCTGCATCTTATAATATAAGAGTCAATTTAAAGTTCTATGAATGGTCATTACAGAATATTACCCTGAAAATAGTGTACAAAATTAAAACCCAAAACACCATATCCCATCTCTGTTTAATAATTCTTAGATGTTTTGTGCTACTCAAAATCATCCAAAAATAGGTTTGTAGTGGTGTCTTCTGTTTTTATGCAGTATATTTTTATTCAAAATGTTTCTGAATGTAAAAAAAATCATGCTATACCACACATACAGTACTGTACTACTGTATACTGTATTTAATATGCTATGTAGCCACTATCTTGGAATATATACGTACTGGTATATACTCACATGGCATATATTCGTCTGGTATAATTAACTGTAAATTTTTTTCTAAATACTGTACCAAATGTGAGTTTAGTAACGATGAAACTCATAAAAAAACAACAACGAAGAAATGTGTGACTGGTGAACGTTGTGCAGCTTGCAATTGTCTGCTTAAACTTATAATGTTCTGTGTCAAAATTAAATAGAAATTAAATACTGTATACAGTAAATTTATTGCTTATAACATTGTTCAATATGGATTTTACAGTTTATTGTCAATATGTTGTAATTTTTAGTGGCAGTCCCACACCCACACCAGTGACCGATCTCAGGCCACACTGTTGAAATTGATGAATTTTATTAAATATCTGTATACAAATATCTCTCGTTATCCAAATGGGTTAGATTCCTTGAAAGTAATTTGAATAAAAAATAACAGATTAAATAAGAAAAATAGGATTTGGTTTCCAACAAGAAAACCTAATGAAATTGAAATTGGTTCGCAAACAAGAAAGAAACCGACAGTACAGCACAGTATACTTGTATACTGTACTGTAATTGGGAAAGAATGGCAAAAGGACAGCCATGGAACTCTGTATGGATTTGTATGTAGGGAGATAGAGCAAAAAAGGAATACTTAACTATATATTATTTTTGTCAATTGTTTTTATTTTTCGATTTCACTGAAAAATGCAATTTCGATATCACAAAGTGAGCAGGGCT